GTGAGTGAGTGAGTGAGTGAGTGAGTGAGTGAGAGAGTGAGTGAGTGAGTGAGTGAGTGAGTGAGTGAGTGAGTGAGTGAATGAGTGAGTGAGTGGCAAACAAAAAGATCCTACCCCCAATTTTTGCAAATTCAGCCATGACCTGAATAAAGCTCAATAGTGCAAGAGCGTCTGCAATCTCAAACTTCAAGGCCTAGCTGCCCACCGCCTCAGCGCAGCTTCGGCAAAGCGGTTTCCTGGCGCAGCTTTCACTTCAAGAAGATCTACAACTTGATGGGGGCAGCATGGGCCAGGATGGGTCAGGATGCCTAAGCCCAGATAATTTCCAGTGGTGCCAGGCCATTTCAGGACAAATCAGTGCACCCCTGTCGACCCTAACCCGAGACCCGACTTCCTATTGCCGCAACTATGCTCTTGGACAAATCACACTTGAAGCATTCACTCGTCTGGCCGAGAAAAATATTTAAGGCATGCTGTGAAGCACCAGAAGTCCCACTGCGGGTAGCGCGTAATCGGAACTTGCCAAGCGTCTTCGACCACAGCGTCGCCCGGGCACGCCAGGTCGAGCGCCTGAAAGAAGCCACGGTGAGACCTCGAAGACCTAGAATCTCAGAATCTCAACCTCTTCCGGTCAGAGCTGCGCCTCTCCGCTGGCACCATTCCGCCTTGGCATGGCAGAGCTGGCGATCGCAAAGGGTTCTGAGAGTTGGTGCGCGTTTTGCTGATCAGAAAGCCACGCATATCACGGCCTGGCATCCTGCGACAACTCCCTCGCGATCGCTTGGAACACGCTAACGCCACCATTTATGACATTGCTCGTGCACGTGCACAGTCAAGTCACAGAGACCAGTCAGAAGCTTGAACTCCTCGTCAGATGCAGTTGCACCGCAGCTATGCATCACAGCCAAGCGCTGCATTTCTGGTTCACCAATGTTTTGGCCAGGCATCTGCATCATGGCGGCGATCGAAAACGCGACCATTTTCGTCCTTGGGATCTGAATCTCGAAACACGAGACAGCGAAAGAGAGACCTCGAGACAGAAGTGTAGCTGGGACAAGCCTAGGCTCAGCAGCTTCAATCGACTGAAGAGGCCCATTGTCAGGAGCCAGCGGCGCGCCTGGAGTTTTGTACTCACCTGAGTCGAAATGAACACTGCGCGGAACTCACGAGCTGATACTGTCACCCTCACAGTCCAGCAGGTCAGAGCAAAACCAGGGACACCAAAGATGCATCCCAGCAGCCGCTCACCGCAAAGTCATTATAGACACCTTCGAGGTTGCAGGGATGCCACGACACAACACGTCAAAGGCTACACATGTAGTGCTACTTGCCATGTACTGCAGTGATGACAGTGCCGGTCACGCACACCCTGTCATGCTGTCTTAATTGAAGAGGCTATCGAGATTGGCAGGCAGGGCGCTTTTTCCGTCACCGTCCGAGACGGACAATATTGCAACGTTTCGCTTCAAGCGAGTGAACCAATTCGGGCCGGAGAAATGTTCTCCAAAGCAGTAAAGGCTTGCATCCTCAGCTGCATTCCATCACCGAAATCCAGGTTGCACTACCCAAAACAATCAGCCCGCCTCCACGCATGCACTCCCAGAGCTGTCATGTGACGCCACACTTGCTAAACCACGCCATCGAGATGACACTAGTTGCTTGCATGTGAAGCGACCGAGAAGAAGTAAAAGTCCAGTATTCGTAGATACCCTGCCAGGGTGTCGAAAGCTCTGCAGAACCATGCTTGTGATCTTCCAGACAGAAGCACAACCCACTCGCCTTGATGTGAGGCCTTAGTGGGACAATGTCTATCATCTGCTGCATTCAACATTGCCGGCAAACGCACTAAAGTAGCTACGTACACGCCAGTCCACGAACGCAGCACAGTGGGTCATCAACTCGTCATACATGCGCGCACGGACGTCGGGCCTCTCGCGCTCCCCTACACCGACAGACAGACAGACAGACCGACCGACCGACCGACGGATGGACGGACGGCGGACAGACAAAAATACAAATAGACAGATAGATAGACAGATACACATACAGACAGACAGACAGACAGACAGACAGACAGACAACAGTCCGAAGACAATCAGACAGACAAACAGAGAAACAGGAACAGACACAAACAAACACACACACACACAGAGACAGAGACAAAATGCGCAGATGCGCATCCGCATTGGGCATGCAAGTTGGTTTGTATGTCCGTTCGAACCTGCATTGATTCCAAGTGGCCGGTATGTTCATCAACTCGGAGGGGTCTATCTTCCGAGCCGGAAGTATTCGTCTACAGACTGTAACGAGTAGCATCGCCAAAGCCGAATTTTTTGTCAAACCTCAGCTTGGCAAGTCGGCGCAGGCACATGACCAAAAGTAATCCGCAGTATCAACAAGACGATATCTAACTAAAGACGATTCGGCATGCCTTGTGCAGACCAATCTGACATGGTGCTTCGCCGCTCGCAGTCCAGACGTCTGGTAAGAGCCTTCAAGTCGTTCAATGAGCGGCCGTAGGCTCGGACTGCGGACATGTCCTCCAGGCATGGACTAGAACTGCTGGACAATGCAATGTCGAATATTCATGACGTCACACTCCACGTTGCTACACGTTTCGGTTCATCCCATCCTCTTTGTCCTTAGCTTGCCAAATATGCTGCATGATACCATACGAGTGTTGTGCTGGGATGGCACGCGATCCAACTGCACTGACATTTGTGCTTTCAGCTTGCAGCTTCGGGATTATTCTGATTAATCCATGTGCACGTGTTGAAATTCAAATAAATTCAACAAGACAGCCGAAATCCTATAAGTTTCAAGATTCGACACCCATCAGACTCTTGCTTCATCCACCGTACGTACAAACCGTACTTACAAGCCCCACTTGCTGTTCTTTGTCCACGGCCCCGTCCTTTTGTGCAAACGCTCGGCACTCAGCTCCCCACCCGTCCCCGCGAACGCGGCCACGTCCTCCTGCGAACGCTCGGCACCCAGAGCCTCCCACCCGTCCCATCCCCGTCCACGGCCGTTTCCTCCCGCCAACGGTTCCCGTCCACGACCTCGTCCTCCCGCAAACGCTCGGCACTCACGTCCGTGCACGTCCTCCCGCGAACGTTCGGCACCCAGAGCCCAAACCCGTCCCCATCCCCGCCGCGTCCTCCCGCGAACCTTCGGCACCCACAGCTCCCCACCCGTACGTCACGGCGTTTCCTCCCGTGCCGCGTCCTCCCTCGAACGCTCGGCTCCCCAATCGTCCCCATCCATGGCCGCGTTCCCCCACCCGCGGCCTCGGCACCCACAGCCCCCCTCCCGCGAACGGTTCCCGTCCACGGCAAATGCTCAGCACCCAGTTCCTTCTTCCTTCGGGCATAGAGGGCTGTTAAGGCCCTCCGGGTTTGGGCCCGCCCCGTTTGCTATCCGCGGCTTTTGCAAGGGCGTGAAAACTCGGAGTGGAAAGTCGCCAAGGTTCATAACAACCTGAGGAAGAAATTCCCCTTGATGCCTGCCTCACCCACCGTGGCATAAAACGGCTTCGCGGGACTGAAGAAAACATGCATCGGCTTGGACAACACGGATAATAGGACAGCGGCGTGAAAAGTCGAATTGGTCAGCTCCCCCGTTTCAGGAAATGGCTTAGTTGAGGAACAATACATGATGGAAGCGGGTAAGTCCATTCGTCCCCCCGAAGTAGCGGGGTAGACGGTAGACGCTTGTCTATTTTGGTAGTCTGTGTTAATGTCTCCAGCGGCCCGTCTTGAAAAAAAGACAAGAAACTTAGATTGTGGCGTCTCCCCGAGTACAAAAGGTCGAGACAAATAGTATCAAGGACCAAACATGTATTGGCTACTCACTCTCTCTTGCTTGCTTGCTTGCTAGGGGTGTAGGGGCTGCAAGCAACCCCTTGGCCCGGAGGCCTACCCCTCGCGGCGTGCGTCTGTGCGTCTGATCGGCCCTCTCTCTCTCTCTCTCTCCCTCCCTCTCTCTCCCTCTTTCTCTTTCCTTTTGCAAACCTCCACTGCCGCACACCAGAGAACAAGTTGAAGTTATGGGGACGTGTCTCGGAAAGATGCGGACACAGAAAGTCCGCCGAAGCAGCCACGACTACCAGAAAGGGCAACTCCCCTGCAGAACTTATCAATGCAACTACATTCCCTCTCTCTCTCGCCTCGCGCTTCTTTCAGAAAAAGAAACATGCCGTTGCGAAAAGATCGCTGTGGCCAAGCAACCTTGGTTGCTAAGAGTTCCACGTGCACCGCATCCTGTGCTTTCTTGAGCTCATCCAGCACGCTGTCCATCTCTGAGATGAGCTCCTCCGAACAAAGTCCGATACATTCCCACAAGTCCGTGAGGGCCTCGCCTGCTCTCCTACGTCATATGCAGCATCATCCTTCTTGTCATCTGGCGTGGTGGTCGTCGAAAGCTCAAGCAGCTCTCGATGATTTTGCATGAGAATTTCTTGCAACCGATGCCGTTCCTGCCCAACCTTGGCTTCGCTGCTTTCGCTTTCGGAGACGTGGATCGTGCAAGCGCCCGTGCTGTGCAGTCAGTGACCAGCCCTGAAAAACAGTTTTTTCAACATCTGCCGCGCGACAGAGTCTGCAACCTGCCACTGCAAGCTGTTTTGTGCAGACCGCGCGGTCTTCGACAGGCAACTATCTCTTGTGAAAAAACTTGACATCCAGCCTGCGCAGCTTCTGCTTCTGCATCGCGGGCACCTGTAGCTGCAGGGTGGCAATCCCAAACAAGTCCACGAGTTGGACCGATTCCGGCCGGCGCGCCAACACTGGCAAGCTTCCGCAGTGTCTTCCGGTCCTCGCTCCCGAGACCTCTATCTAGGATATCCTGCATAAGGCGGTCCTGCACAAGCCCAGTCGGAAGATTGGCAGGAACGAAGCAAAGTCTTTCCACGAAATGAAAGTCCTCATGCTCTAGCATCGGTCTCAGAACCTCCACTCGCAGCCTGACGGACGCAGGTTAAAACTGAGAAACTCAACAATTTCCTGGACGGCAGAACCTTATCATGTCCTGGCCTGAGCTCCCTCCAGCGCTCCAGCGCGGCACGCACTGCTGCTGCCTCGCGCTCGGGCAGCTCATCTGGCGGCCGGAGCTCGTCACTGCCTCAGCTCGGCTGACTCGTGCAATGCTTGGCTGACATCCTTCCTTCTGCGGTTAAGATTCGAAGAGGAACCTCCTCCCCGCTATCCAGAGCACGCTTCCTGGGCATGGCAGTGCAGCACTCAGCAGCTCCCTCCAGTAGCTTTACACAAGGTCAGCTTGCAGAGAGGATTCTGGCCACGCTTGCCCATCACACCCCACAGGTAGCGCGCCCATTGTCAAAGTCATTTGAGGCTTTCAGAGCAGCGGAGGACGATGCGGCAAGGTGGCTGGACAATTTTGGCTAGATGTGTTCAACATCCCGAGATGGCAATGCCAGCTGCTAGTTTGCTTCAATCAAGCTCGGGTACATCTCCAAAGATCCCATACAGGATGCCAGCATCTCACAGCAAAGATAATGCCGTTCAAACAGGAAGCCATGGGACAAAGATACAACTTCATTGCTACCAGCTGGGATGTCTTGGTTTTGGTCCTGGCATGGAACCTTTGGAGTCGCGACAGAAACTCCTAAAGAAGACGATCCCGCCTTTAAAGTAATGGATACCCTCTGCCCACTTCCCAGTACCTGACAGACTTAACTCGGCGATGAAAGCAAAACCGGATCTAGCCGACTCCGAAGCCAAAAGCCAAACGCAATGCCGTTTCTTTCACCAAGACAACGTCAAGCTTTGGCATTTGCTGCAGCAACACATTCCGCCGCGAACCGGCCTGCGCAGCTGAAGAGTCGTGTCGGTCTGCACTTCAACCCGCGTAAGTCTGTACTTCTATCCGTGGATGAGATGCACCAGTCAGACCATCAAGATGAAGTGGAAAACACAACTCGACCAGTGCCCTTATTCATGACAGACGGTGAGCGAACGTTGAGCACGCTGGATGCCAACATTCCTGCAGAGTTGCCCACAACGGCACGTTTGATCCTTGATGGGTCCAGGACGGTGCCGCCGGCAACAGCTCCTCCCCCTCTGACGGCCACAGGTGGCGGCTGAAGCTGTCTTGCAGGCAACTCGGCCGACAGCGCTGGAGTCCGGCGCTGACCATCCGTGGTGCCCCTAGTTGGAAGATCCACCACTTGTGATGTGACGGTCGTCGGCAGCCTTGTGCCGCATGACATGCAGAATTTTTGATCTGCCTCACAGGGCTCACCACATGACGGGCATGTCGTGGCCGCCTGTTGATAGGGGAGTGGAGCTATCCCAGCATTCCCCAAATGAGAAACATCTTGCGTGCTCGGCATGGTCCGTGAAGAAACCGACGCGGGCTCCGTGTGCATGCGCAACACTGATCTTAGCATGGCATCTGCCAGGCACAAGCACGCGAGGGCTTCCAGCCTGTCCTCCTCTGGACCAAAGCGATGGTACATAGCATCAGCATGAGCTTTCAGCGGCGGAGTCAACCCATGTTGCTGAAAGACCGCTTCAAGAAATGTATGGACTCCATCCTGGTCCAAGTAGCCTTGCGACTCAGGGTCAGCCTTGCAGTAAGCGTTCAGGGCGACCCGGGAGGCATCACCACGATGGAAGGCAGCGGTGGCAGAGGCACACCGATTGCAGTTCACAGTGGCCAGAGGACCCAAGGGTCCTTTGAGCTCCTTAGCTGGTATTCCTTGACCGTATGCAATGCATGAGAGCACTTGATTCCTAAAAGTCAACAAGTGGCCTCATCGAAATCAATGACAATCTTGGCCATATATGTGATGCCTGCGACAGCCAGGCTTGGCCAAACAAGCCTTCAACTTTCGCGACACCTGCTTCTTGAGACCGGCGGTCGGGCTCTCCACACAGCTAAGGCTATGTAAGGCTTGAGCTGGAAGTCTCCAACTCGGGCACTTCGGCATAAAGGACCTTGGCTGCGCATCGGAGCCCGAAGCAATCTCTTCACGGAAGTTTGCTCAGTCGCTTGCCCACTTTTCTGCCATGGCTAGTGGAGACCCGCGAGGCGCTGTCCGCAGATCCTGCACCTCGGCAACCAAGGCACGGACTTCGGCACGGAGCCTGCAACAAGGCGATCAAATGTTACTGGCTGACCACATGCACAACGGTACAGGATCCGCCTGGCCAACTCTGCCTCCAGCGTTCCCCGCTCCTTCACGTGCCGCTCAACTTGTCTGCGCAGCTCTTCTGCCTCCACGGACATCAATGCTTGTAGCCACAATGCTGGACCCACGCTGGATGCTGAGCATGCTGGGGAGCCATCCTGCAGTGCACGGCCCCGAGCAGCGGCGGAGTCACTGCGCAAGGCGGCAGAGTACTGTTGGAGCTCCTGAAAGCAAAACCCTCGCTCGGCCTCTTGGCTCCACAAAACAAGCCGGAAGGTTCTGATGCGCACGCGCAACCCCCATCTCCGACAGGAAAAGACCCAGGGGCCCACCGAAAGGCTTGCTTGCCCACGTTTGTTGGGGTTCTCAGTCCCCACGCTCGGTATGAACTCAGCGCAGCCCCGGTTATCCGATCATCCTGTGAGCATAAGCCTAAGCCACCTGGCCTGCCTCTCCCCCTTGCTCGCCAACGCAGTCTCACCCGCTGGTTGTTTCCACGATGCCGGACAGGCAATCCCGTTTGTCCGACGCCTCGCAAACGTATTGTAAGCGGGAGCCTGCAAACAACATCAAAAAACGAAAACTGTCATATGCTTAGTGCAGTGCACATGGAGACTGAACTCGGTCCGTCCTTTTGCACTCTGCCAAGTCCGAGTTCGAGGTCTGCCGAATACTGAAGGGTATGCTTTGGAGAAAAATCGCCTAGAGGCCAGAGGCATGATGTCGGGCTGGGACGACTACTTTTTCGTGCAAAAAAAAATCAGGTGAAGGGCAGCTGGGACCCCCAGCAAGGCCCGAGCAGCGACAAGCATAATGCTGCATATGCCAATCCCACAATATGCTAAGTGCAGTGCACATGGAGACTGAACCCGGTCTGTCCTTGTTGCACTCTGCCAAGTCTGATTTCGATTCTTGCCGAATACTGAAGGGTATGCTTTGGAGAAAAACCGCCCAGAGGCATAATGCCAGAGACATAACGTCGGGCTGGGACGACTAAAGACCCCAAATTAAAAACCCCAAAGTAGACCCGAAGAGAGGCTATCCAAGGAGAAGAGCATGACTCAACGAATCGAAGGGAGTAAAAAGCAGCCTCGGCCAGGTAACTGGCATTAACTGCCGACCCTGGGCGATCGTCCACTCATCGTCCAACCCCTCGCGGCTGAGGCCGACAGAAGGGTTCGCATCACTTTCGACATATTCGAAGTAAACCAGCAGCCCACGCATGCAAACATGAGCTGCGTGACGGCTGCAAGGATCGAGAGATCCGCCAATCTACTGGCGCCTTTCATCAGCAACTGACAAGCGACACGACGTCCTGTTCCGGCAGGAAAGACGGAACGCTGTGGGGCACCACAACGCCTGCCAAAGCTTCACAGGCATTGATTTGTGTCTGGCGCACCTGAAAACGCTCAAAAATGTCGTCAGAAATATCAAGAGACATGCCAACAGGGCGTCTGGAAGCATCAGCTGCAAAGATGACGAAGCCCAAGCGCGCTGGTACATTGGTCAAAAGCTCATAGCTGGCATCGCTGTAAATGCGGACCGGCTTCGTCGGCAGAGGGCTCAGTCTGACGAGTCTAGGGGGCACCACCTCCTCGGATGCATGTGAAAACGTAGACTGTAGACAGTGAGTGAGGGCAGGAGTGAGCTGGTCGCAGCTGTCAGTAAACTGACGGGTAACAAGGGGGGCAAGGCCAGCCCTGCCACATCGACCACGAGTTCCTGTGGACACCCAGCCAAGCGCCCTCGAAGCTTTAAAAGTCTTAGAAGCTCTACCATTATTGAGCCGACCAGCAGCCAAGACGGACTTTTTCTCATCCGAAAGGGCCTCCCTGTAGCCGGGCTTCAGGTCAAAGCTGACGAAGCCACGCACGGATACCAAAGCTATATTGACTGAGAGGCCCAGAAAGACTCTGCAGGCTGCTGGGGGCCTGCGAGTTGGCAGGATCCAACTCTGCACCTGCCAATCCAAAGCAAGCCCGCATCGAGGCTTGTGCAGAGCTCTTTGCACACTCCAGACCGGCGATTCCACTATCATCGAAAAACTGAAGAACAGGAGAGCAGCACACTCGTCGACATAGAGCAGCCAAGAAGTTCGGTGTCCTGGAAGCAAAGAACAGCAGAGGATAAGCCAAAGGGCAAATCCTGCAAGACGATGAGCCTGTGTTCACATGCTTGGTTGTCCAGTAGGCTGTGCAGGTAACACACAGATGCTCCGGATGGACAGGGCACTGACGGTAAGCGCCCTTGCACAGGCAGACCTCTGAAAACCAGGCGGGTCTTGAGGAGAAGAGGCTGGAAGGCAGCGACGCTCGAAGTGAAAGCTGCTTCGCGCTCGATGGATGCATCGTTATGCCCCGGCTTCTTCCCCGAATCAATCGGGCGAGACTTGTCCGACTGGGGGATCATAAAGCGCTCTCCAGCCACCGAACCATCAGGCCTTCCAATTAGGGCAATCGGTGCGAGTATGTGACTTAGAGCCACACGCCTTGCCCGGGCAAACGAACATCGAAAACATGAGCCTATCGTCCAGAGCGCACCCTCCCTGATCATTCCTCTTCTTGCAAATGGCACGGCCATGGGACATTGCAAGTCCGGTCCTTGCGAGCCACCTTTTGAGGCGAAGAATCTGCAATGGTGGGCTCAGGTGACGAGCTCACCTGAATCTGAGGGCTGCCGTTCCAAAGCAGCTCGGACTCGACAACTGCTAAGAGCCTCTCCCTGGGGGTACGACATGCGAAGATCAGAACAGAATCGACCTTGTGAGAGCCAGCGAGACAGCAGGCATTTGCAAGAATTCGCAAACGGGAGTAGTAGTCGACGAGATCCTTGACAGGTCCTGAGCCAGTGACGTAAGGCTGATGTTGAAGGCGACCTCGGTCTTCGGCTGAGGCAGGGATGCTCGAAATAAGACTGTAATCCTCCTCGCCGGGATCAGCGACGCAGTTCCTCCTTGAAATTCACGGTACACGCCTCCAAGCAAAGAATCACTTGGCGTGAAATGAACTGTCTAGACGATGCCCACATAAGCGACTCCAAGCCACCTGGAGGCTCTCCACTACTGAAGGCTTAAGGGGCTCGTCGGCATCCGCCGCAGTCCCTTCAAGGTTACGTTTACGAAGTTGTTGCAAGGTACTCTGGGCCTCGCTCCAAGCTGTCCGTAATCGAGCGAGCTGCAGATTATTGCCTTTCTCCGGGCTTTTCTCTAGGATCAGCTCGGACAGTTTTGCCTCACCTCATACTTGGAGATCTCGACCAATCCGATGAAATCGGACAGGCACTGAACTCCCAGGGACCATCGAAGAGTTTGGCAGAAGTGAAGAGCGAGCGCAACTGTTCGAGTTCGCGGGAGGCGGCCGCAGTCGAAGGGCCATGACCGTGGGCCATACACACCAAGAACGCCCAGGGGGGTGTGGCAAAGCTGTGAACCTCGTGTACCCCTACGTACAGGTAGACACACTCAGCGGGCCTAAACCTAGCCCTTACCCAGCCCAAGATTCACGTAGAGAGGGCTAAACTTTAGCAAAAGGCGGGAGCCGATCATGGCGAAATGCATCGCCAACAATCAAAGGCTTCAAGGCAAGGCACAATCACTGCAAAAGACAGCAATTGGCAGCTTCTTTCTCTTGTGGGCATCATAAGTGCGAGTCACAAAAAAAATCCAGACCATCAAGCGCAGGGTGAGATCACTACTCGCCTCGTCGGCATCGAAGGCAAGTGTGGTGATTGTGGTTTGGTTTGCCACGGTTGCAGTACCCCTGAGACAAGGGATGCCACATCGAAGATCTGTGCGAATCGGTCGCGCGGGAGCCGAGGAAGCAGATGAAGCAGCCCCAGCATCACCTCCTTGATCAGCACCATGCTCAGCACTCGACCCTGCATTGCCACTAAAGCTGCTGCTTGCTCCACCAGAGGCGGCTGCCGATGGTGGAAGAAAGTGCAGCACCCCCGAGCCGTCCGTTTCGGGGAGTGGCTGAGCCTCGAGTCGTCGGACAGATTCACGAAAGGGGAGGGGGCAACAGCAGGATCCTGAAAATAACATCCACTCAAGGCTGATCCGACGGCGCAGCCCCCATGACACAATGCAAGGAGGGGCTTAAAAAGGGCTGCAGACGCTAGTGGCCGCGGCTCTCACTCAGGGTGAAAGGCAGAACGGCGCACAATGCACAAGCCGAGGCGGCGCACAATGACCGAACCAGCAGTTCGGCTCTTGATTTTCAACCCCTCTTCTGAAGCTGCCGGATGACTCGGAGGATGCTGGCTAGTGCAGAATATATGCACCTTTGGCAAATGACATGATCTCTATCCAACCGAACTCCACGAACCACCGACGCGGGTGGGAAAGGAGAGGAGCGACTCAGTGGATGCAAGTCTACAGTGCCCTTCTGCTATTCGTGAACCATGTCTCTAGGAGCAGAACTTAAGACTTAAGCGAAACCACTGAATGACTTCGCTGCCCTCGTCATCCGAAGAGCTGCTTGAGGGGCTAGAAGCCGAATCGCCTGAGTCGCTTCTCGAAGTCTTGGAATCGGAGCCACGTGTGGCTCAGCGGGCAGCGCAGACTGCCATGACAAGCGAAGGTCTCTCAGAGTCTCTCAGGGCCTGCCAAGTCGGACTTGAAGACTTGAGGGACCTGGATGCCTGAAGCAAGAGGCCAAGCAGTTGATCTTTTGCATCAGCAGGAGTACGAACTTTATCATCGGCGTACACGTGGTGCATCTGGAACTTCGCATCTTTCTTGGAACCCCATTCTGAGCAGTTTCCAAGATGAAGAGCAAGGTGCTCGGGGCACCGGCACACATCTGCAAGCGAGCGCAGAAAGCGTCTCAAACTGTAAATACTGTATATAATGATTGCCTGCACCTGCTCGCCACAGGACCCCTTGGAGGATGCGCAAACTTCGCACGGCTCATCTTACCAGGCCTCTGTAAGCCCCTCCGGCCCCAAGTCAACATCTGGAATGACAAACTTGGATAAACTTGGCATCAGGCTTCGTGTGCAAAAGACGAGCGTGCACAGTCAGAGCAGCTTTAAAGACATCCGTAAAACCCAAAAGCTGCACAGGGCAAGCTCAATGGAAAGGAGGGCGATTGCCCAATCTCCTAGCTTCACCCATCGAACAAGTACCCTTAAGGAAGGGGCAACCACGCGCAAGGCCATGGGATCGCTGCAAATGTGCAAAACGAAGGCAAGCTACAAGAGGCAGCAGGGCAAAAACCCGCGAAAGGCGGCCAGCCTGGCAGAACTCTGCGTAGCAAGCCGGCACAAGCAAAAGAGCGAACTGATCCGTAATGAGCTCACCGGCTCGGCTGTAAGTCCGACTGCGATCTTGTTCCAAGCTGCAATGAAAAGATCCTGAAGCCGGACAAAGAACACCCACATGCATTTGCATGCACGAACAACTTTGGAACAAGCTCCGGGCCGCTGTGGGGCCCCGCACAGATTCGTTTTGAAGGAATGCATTTATGATCTCGACCGAAGGCTCGCAATGCATGACGGGCGGTGGTAAAGTCTTGTCGGCAAAACAGCACCATCTAAGCCAAGAGCTGCGATGCTGCCACAAAGTAGACTCCTCGGTAGTTGTAAAGCTTGCGACAAAAGAATCGCGAGCGCTCAAAGGCTGAGACAACACGAGAGGGCTGAATCGCAAGCCCATTGTCCCAAGAGAGACATAAATCTGCCAGAAACCATCAACGACAGCAAGTTTAGAATCAGCAATCTTGGGAGCGCTACCAATGCACGGCTGGAACGGCTGAGCTTTAGTGATGGGACCAGTTGGTGCGAAGGCCTTGGGATGCAAAACCACAAGCCCGGACAGCTGCCGATTGCACCGTGTGTAACTTGGCCACTCCTAGTGCAGCTTCAGCACAGCGAAATCGCTCATGGGACAGATGTGGCACAGTTCAGCCCCTGTCAAACCAGAAACATCTGCATCGTCAACAAAGCCAGCTGCCCGCAGAGTCTTGAGAGCATCCTCACCCCGATGGCTTCTAAGCAAAGGCCCGAAATCAGGCGCAGCCGAGGGCACTGACGATGGCTGATCAAATGAAGAGGCATCAGGGAGAGGCCTTCAAGGAACAATCAAGGATGCACCATGCCTATGTTGTGGCCTCACTGACATCGACAAGGGGCGAAGAGTCGCAGAACTTTCTCGGGTTCAAGAACCGTCCAGGAACAAGAAAGAACATGCCCGCTGCACAACTGATGGTCCTTCGAACCATAGCAGCGACAAGCATAATGCTGCATAGGCCACTCCCATCCAGTCCGCCATGCACACAATAAAGCTTCGGAGGGTGCACTTAAGAAAACTCGCCCCTCACATGCTCACAACTCAAAAAGGCCCACGACTCCAAGCATCATGCCACGCAGGCACGCACGCACGCACGCACGCACGCACGCACGCACGCAACACACACACACACACACATACACACAGACACACACACACACACACTGACTGTGATGTGTTTCGGCAAAGAGATAAGTGGTCGAGACAGTGAAGTGGGGTTAGGGTTAGGGCGGGATGTTGTTGAACGAAACAAAATGATGTTGATGACGACGCCGACGAAGATGAGATGAGAATTTGATGCCAAGTATGCCAGACCAAAGGAATGGCATACGAAAACAGAATGAGATGATCCGTGAAGGTCCGGGTCCTGCCCTCGCTGTGTGAGACGACCGAATCACACAGCACGAAATGAGATGAAGGTGAAAATGAGGATGAAGGTCCCGCCAGCTGCCGACGCCGGGGCCCAGGCGCAGACCTGTGCAGGTACGTTGTCCTAGCGTGCAGGGGAGAGCTTCGTTGGACGGATACCGTCCCCCTGCAAGATGTGGGCGATTACAAGACACTTTCACACACACAACTGTCCAAGCATCATTCAGCACGTGAAGCGATGCAAAAGGAGTGACCCTCTGTTCCCATGTGCTAGGGATGTTCACACACACAGAGCCCCACATTGGGGCAACTGTGACCTCCCCCAAACTAAACCAAAAAGAGCCACGCCAGGGCTGAAACTAAGACCACGCCAAGGCCGATAACACTAAGACCCCAATCTAAACCACAAAACCCTGCGGGCTGCAATGCCCTGATGCAGATCTTGTGGAGGTAGTTCCGGATGTAATTAGTCTAATTAGTCCAACCACCATGTGTGCATTGCATTTACGAAATTAGGGTTAGCACACCCTTTCCAGCTGCCATAAAACACCCAGGAACAGAGTGACTACTGCCCAGCTACCCGCAACGGCTCCAAGGCCAGTAGTAGGATGATGGGTTGCACCCCCCCAGCTGTGCGCGCAGGCACCAGGAGCGGTTTTTTCGGCACCCAGGAGCGACAGAGATAGAGGTCTCGAATCCTTCGAGGACCTCAAAATTAAGGACATTTAGGGTGATGTTGTATGTTGAGTGGGGGAGAGATGCAGGAAGCAAGAAAAGCAAAAGATGTCGACTTTCCCCCGCAGGGGAGATGCATTAGACGCTGAGTTACTGCACCTGCGCTGTGTGAGACGACCGAATCACACAGCACGAAATGAGATGAAGGTGAAAATGAGGATGAAGGTCCCGCCAGCTGCCGACGCCGGGGCCCAGGCGCAGACCTGTGCAGGTACGTCGTCCTAGCGTGCAGGGGAGAGCTTCGTTGGACGGATACCGTCCCCCTGCAAGATGTAGGCGATTACAAGACACTTTCACACACACACACAACTGTCCAAGCATCATTCAACACGTGAAGCGATGCAAAAGGAGTGACCCTCTGTTCCCATGTGCTAGGGATGTTCACACACAACAGTTTGCAGGCGTTCGCGCGCGCACGCACAAACACACACACACACAGAGAGAGAGACACACACACACACACTTGCAAATCATACTATTACTCCGGATGTCACCGGTATCGTGGCTCTGGTTCGTTAGTCTTTGATTGTCTGTTGTGTCTTTGATAGCTTCTCCTTCTTGCCGTCATTTCTGCGTGAAAGGACTCAAGGCCGTTTAAGGACATGTCAGCACGAACAAGCAAGCTACGGAATGATCTCAGCAGAATCTCAACTGATTGCACATGCGACCTGGTTCAACATGAAATCTTCATTGATCCGACATGTACTTGCCACATGCGACATCTTGACTGATCTGACATGTCACTGTTCAACAAGCAATCCGGTGCGCTCCATCACTGCCCGAAAACCAGATCTTCAGGAACGATACAGTTCGATATAGATGCCCAAGTTACGAACAAATGTCCATGGCGCGTCGTTACATTTGCAGGTACACAGGCATTCGTCCATGACTCCATCCACTCCAGCTCCATAGTGTTGTTACGGTGGCGAGGAGCAAGAACGTCACGCCCCTCGCTGCTTCTTTATTTTATTGTTGGCTGCAACTTGTTGTTTACTTACCCCCTTTAGTACAGGGATGACACACACACACAAACGCAAAACACATCAGATCTCACCCTTCCCAGGCAATCAAATTCCTCGTACTCCGCCTCCAGGGTCTGGTACTTTGTTCGCAACAACTCGGCCTGACATGCGACCAGCTTTGCTGCAGTGAGGTTTTCAGCGCCAAGCCTGCAGCTCCAGCTGGTCGCGACCAGCTTCTAGGACCATGACGTTTGCCCGAAGGTCCTCGAATTTTTTTTGGGTTAGCAGTTTCTAGTCCTGTACTTGCCCTAGTGCTCCTGAAGCTCAGAGGCACTGTTTTCCATGCCAGTCGGATGTCCTGAGAAGATGTGGACACCTAGACTGACGCAAAGGAATAGCCTGCATTACTAGCTGAGTTGGCACTAGTAGGGGTCAGTCTGAACTAAACCCCACGAAGATCAAGGGTTGCTTGCTTCGCATGCGGCAGACCTTTCAGAATGCTACCCCCTCCCATGTTGGATACGTTCCGACTGGCAACAGCCTTAGCAATGCAAGTCGACGCGTTTCGATGGCTTTTGGATTGCCTGTCTGCAGATGTGATTTTACCCACCTTACCGCACGACGATGAACTGCCAAGGCAAGATCCTGAAGCTCCAATGCCTCTCAGAACCAACGGCAGCCTGGTCCGCCGTGCTCATGGGAGGCGCTCATCGCGCCGACCGTCTGCAATTGCTCCAGCCTTAAAAACATGTCGGACCGTGATATACAGTTTCAGAGATATGCACCTGGAAACATGTCCGGGCAACTCCAATAGGATAGAGTCGCGGTGCGCCTCGTGCAAGCAACGAGAGGGGGGGGGGGGGGGGGGGGNNGGGCTCCGAGACAGAGTGCAACGACCAGAAACCCCAGTGCTGGCGACGCGCCCCGAATTCTTTTCGCACTCTTGAAAGAGCAAGAGCCTCTACTGTTCTAGCAGGCTCCCGACAGCATTTTTCGCAGCCAGGAGACAAAAGGCGGACACGTTCCCTCCAAACTTCGGGAGTTACCCAATCAGATTACTGTGGAATCCTGGAGTTCAGTCAAGCGCCTAAGCAGCTAAGCAAGTGCAGTGCTGCCTTGCACGTGCCTCGTTTGAGTTGCACATGCGCTGGCGAACTAATTAGCCTGACTGCAGCTCCGATCGACTCGGTCGTCACATGCAGCTGCCTTGAATTTTGATGTGAGCATTGCTCCTCAAACAAGCGTCACAGCATGCGTGCCACTGGAGGAAAATCTGCTCGCAAAACCGAATTATGCTTCCGCAGTCACTGAAAGAATCCACTCCACAACGAACTGAAAGTCTCTTCTCACAGCGTCTGTGCGAGGCAAGCTGCTGGGCATTCAGGACGCGGCCTGTGCCTGCAGCCACAAGTCGCTGGACAAAGCAGCTGAGATGACTGGAACCCCATTTTGCCAAGCTCTGCCGTCTGCATGCAAAAATCGAAATCGGTCCCGTCAATGTTCACGGGAGTTGCGAAAGCTTCGCAGGTCGTGGAGTTGCTTCGGAAGATGATCCCCTTCCGCTGCCGCAGGCCATGTAAGAAGGTCTTTAGAGCCTCGCTGTTCGTCGGTGCATCCGAGCAGGTTGCAAGCTCTGTTACACTCTCGTCAAAGAGCGTCCGGCAGACCGAAGGGCAGCCGAAGGAAGGCAGGCTAGCAATGAAGCTCCCGGACTTCAGGTCATTGCATCCACAGGTGACAGGGCAGAGGGCACGTAACCGCCATAATGTCTCGAGATGTAAGCTGCCATTGAAGCAGAATGACTGCACAGAAGGACAAGACTGAAAAGACTCTATTGCAGCGGCTTCCGGAAGTAACTCCCGCAGCTTCTCCATTGCTGCCGTGCCCAAGTTCACCAATCCGAAGCCTGAATAAACGGGACTGTCCAAGTCTTGGCACAAAGGCCAAAACTCGCTGCGTTCCTCGAAACCCAAACTTTTCAGCTGCATGGCCAGACCAAAGAGCTCCCGATTGAGGAGCTGTGCTCCTAAGCCGGGAGGCTGCACCTCCTGTAGCTGAGTGGCTTGCAGCACTGCCCGGTAGGCATAGCCTTCATCAGACTTCTTAGGCAAAGCATCGAGGCTGTCGTCCAGAATGTAAGCCAGTCCCGCTGCATCTTGGAAGTACGTAAAGTTGGTAACCCCAGAACACATGGCATCCGCCGTAGCTTGCATGTTGTTGACCAATGGCTGCAGGCAGAGGACATGCGACCCCACCAGGCAGGCCAGCGACAGCGTGAATATGAAAGCTTGCCGTGCTTGTAGAACCCAGGGTCGCCAGAGCTTCACCTGCGCAGAAAAGTGTACGAACCACTCGGAGTGAACACCGGTTCTGAAATCCGTCAAGCCGCTGGAATCGGCTTCAACGACTTGATCGTCTCGTGCACACGACGCGGAACAAGCACTGCAAAGAAGAGGTCGTCGATGCAAAGAACTACTTCCAGGGCCACCGCGTTCCTGGAGGGTGCATGTCAAGAAATCTCTCCGAGGCTAGCTGAACATCTGCGCACCTAGTTCACTACCAGCCACTGCCAAGAAGCAAAATCAAATCAGAAAGAGATGTGGTGCTTGCCAGAAAATGGACTCCAATTATGCCGAGGACCTCGGGTCTCAACCATGACCATGACTCCGTACTCGCACGTGAAAAGCTCAATCGCCGAGAGCTCTAACGATGGACTGAGGTGGAGGCTAGGGCGATGCTCAATCTGGGAAGCATGTTGAAGACGATTAGAACCACGACACGATGCAAGCTGACAACGGACAGCTGGAGAAAGTGGCCCGGATTCGAGACAGTGTCTGCAACACTCGGACTCCGTGGCAAAGAGGCCAAAGCAATGCCGAAACCACATGCGCAACTCATTTCCTTGAGCACTGTGAAGATCCAAACTAGCAAGGCGATAAGAGCTAACCATGCTCCGACAGGAAGCAAGGGCCAGCGGAGATCTTGGTTGCCGGTCTCGCGGATGCCGTACTTGAACATTGTTTCGTAAATCTCCGCTTGCACATTCCCGTTCATTAAGGAGTTCGACATGCTGCATACACCCATGATCAACGGCTGGCCCGTGATGGCATCTATGTAGTTGATGTTCTGGCCTCGGCAAGGCAGCTACACACGCGACTCACAGCCTGCACTCATCTGCTCGCCGTGCACATGTTGGGGCCCAGGCCAAAGTGAATGCGCCAGTCCCGCATTTCTTCGGCAAGCGAGCTCTCGAAGACCGTTTCGGTCATGTTGTCGTAAAGAATCAAGACGAAGAAGCCCTCTACCAAAATAGACCACAACCCACAAAAAGCAACTGCCAACGACTCTTGCCAAGACAGGATTCCCAAACCCACAAGGACGCAGGAGTCCCAAACACAGGCGTCGAAACGGTACTCAGCATTGTTCTGCCGATCTTTGGGCAGTGGCTGAACTGCATCTCGATCGTCGTCCGGCGCTGTGGAGATTTCCAATGGCTCGTGTCTGAAGGGCAGTCGCACGGGTGCCTGCAGTAGAGCCAGAGAAGTATCGAGCCCGAATGGGGCCTACAGCTTACCTGCCATGTCCCAAGATCTTGCAAAGACCACCTTCAGCTGGAGTCCCAGTCCCTAGATGATACCTCCATAAACAAGTCCTGTTATGATGCGGCTACGGGCATATACTACATAGCCAGCAACAGAGAGAGAAGCTGCTGTCCAAAGGACCGATGCCGTCGTGACGCCCTGGATCTGCAAGCCTGGCACAGATGCTTCGGCTTCTGCATCGCACAAGCAGTGGAGACTCAGGGATCTCGAAGGCCTTCCTCCAACTCCGCCTTTGCATTGAAGACAACGTTGTGCAAGCGCTTCTCCACAGTCTCCAAGCGCTGCTCCAGGTCCCTCGCGACTCGCAGTTTGCATGGCCTTCTGTGAGTCCAAGGCTTCCAAGGTGCCTGAGCCTGTCCCTGGTGCACTCGTCGATCAACCTGAGCCGGGAGTCCGCAGCATCCGAAGCCGCGGAGCTCAGAGCTTAATTCCCCCCCCCCCCTTGGCCTCCTTAGCTCGAAGGGGTCCGAGAGCCCCTTCTTCGGGGAGTCGCCCCCGAGCCCGAGTCCACCACATAGCATCACGAGAGCAAGGCGGCTGGACGCGGCTGAGATCGCTGGCTGTGCCGAGTTATGCCGGCTAGACGGTGGGTCGAGATCTGAGATTGAAAGCCACAGGGCTTCTTGGGCACTCCGGCATGCTCTAAGATAGCCACCTGCTGAACCTCCATGTTGAGCCGGAGCACACCGTGACAATGCACAGAGCATCGGAGCACTACTCTATCGGAGCACCCACTCACTAGCTTCATCGCTTCATCACTCTATTGTTTCTATATTCGGCATTCCTTCCCAGATTCTGCATACAGATCTGGGTCGCCTTTTGTGGAGCTTTCTTCTTCCAATGTGGGGAGGGTGCTGGCTCAGCACTTTCAAGTCTGACCCACCACTACACCCACCACAACGTCTTTCTTTGTGTGGTTGAACTTTGAAGCTGGGCCTGCGGTCGGATAGAGTCGGACAAAGACATTGGCTGTCCGATGGCATCGAGACAACACACCGAGCCGCGACTCACCTCGCAGACAGAGTTGAGCTTTTCTCTGCTAGACGATTCAACCGATTTTTCCATGGTTCACAACACCAAACCATGAACCCTACGAGGGAACTCGCAAAGCTGGAGTTGCGGCCACTCCGGCTGTGGCAGTTGTGATGTTTGCCTCTCCCAGTGCACGCCCTCGACCAAGCTCATCAGTTTCAATTCTTGAGCACAGGTGGCGCAAGCTCAAGCGCCGCAGTCATGGAATACATAGAGAGTTAGAGTTTACCATCCACATGTGGGGTTCATAGTGCTTCTCATGTCTCCGTCAGCCTCCAGGGCCGCACACCGAGCCCGGAGCTCCGTCTCGCAAGCCAGGGGTGCGCTTTTCTCGAGCAATCCACCTCGGCGACGTGGCAAATCCGAGCTTCTGACGCTGTGCCAGAACCATACCCCAGGCTACCCCAGGCATCTAGAATGAATCAAGCTCAGAAGCTGATCCACTCGTTAGTGGCTGACAGCTGCCGGTGTGCCCAGCGATAGCCCTCAGACATATCCATAAGCGAGATCCAGCCACTGTAGCCCTTGGCTGCTACCCGACCTCGGACTCGCTTTTCTGCTTTACGGTGCACCACCTCCAAGATGTGGACCTCCTCGCCGGCCAGCAGCCGGCCCAGCTTCTGGGAGCTCCGAGCAAGCGCCTCGGAAACATCGACGTCGCTGGCGAGCAAATAAACGCCAGGCCCATCCAGCTGCAACGATGCCTGCGAAGACCCGACACAACAATACAGCGGCACTCCCAGACTCAGAAGCTAAAGCTGTGCATCTTCGATACAAGAACCTTGTCCGTTGGAGTGCAACAGAAAGAGTTCCTATAGGGCGTCGTCTCGGCTTGCGCCCGCACGAAGCCGCAAGGCTTGCACAGCCAAGGACCCCGGCCGGGCCTGCTTGAGCTCAAGCTCCAGAGTCCGACATCGCTCGCTCTTCTCGCGCAGCTGCTGCTCGCAGCGGCTGAGGTCTTCCGCTGCGGCGGCCCTGAAGCTCTCTTCTTCCTCTTTGCTCTTTTGGGCCTCCTTTGTGGCAGCACTTTTGGCTTCCTCCATGGCCGTCTCCAAGGCGTTCAGCTCTCTCTGAAGTGACAGCAACTGCTCGCTTCGCAAAGATGCGGAGCGGTTGCTGCGCTGCAGGTCCCTCGAGGCCCAGCGGTTGGAATCCTGACAAAGTCCGAGGGCGGGAGTTCGCTTGATGCTGTGTGTGACAGCCAGTCTGATGAGCGAACGAGCGAGTGTCGACCAGCAGTTACGCCAGGGGCTTCGACAGCGTCATTGCCCCCCGCCATCAACAAAAATCAGGTGCAGGACACTGAGGGCTTCTGAGCAACACCGGCCAAACAGTGGAACAAAACAAAATACACCGCCAGCACTATGCGCTTCACCTGGCAAACGCCAGACCCTTCGCGTACAGCTTCATCACAACGTCAGCTTATGAAGGCTGTAGAAACTCCATGCACAGGGGGGCCCAGTACAACTCAACGCACCTCACCGGGGAAAACTGCTGCTCGGGTGCGTGTGGTTATGTGTGGTTACTTCATCGCCTCTACGATCGCTGTGCAGTCCGGTCCTCCGTGCCAACGATGGAGATCCACCCGGCTGGGTCTTCAACCCTGCGCCGGAGAGAGCTACAACGGCCACAAATGGATCCGATCAGCATCTGGCCTCCCACGAACTCTTTTGTCTTCCTGCCTGGCTTTGCGCTGATTTCTATTCGCCCACGCCAGATGGCCTGAGGCCGGTACTGGTGCACAACCTCGAGGACTTGGACAGCTGTCCCAACCTGCACAAGCCCATCTTCGCGGGCGATCCCTCCCCGTGCACTGCCTTGCTGGCGGTATGACCCGTGTGATCGCATGATAATGAAGCTGCAAAGCAAAATGCAGCTTCGGAGCGTTGAGGTTTTGCAGCTTGGCTGAAGATTTCTCGGGACCAACGGTGAGAGCCACAGTCTGTGATACCACCTCCGCGTCTGCGTCAGCATCTCTGAGACATGCTCTTCCCTTCTACGGGATCGAGAAGGATGGCAAATGGTCAGAGGGCTGCAGTTGAGCCAAGAAGCATAAACACCAGGACTGTCCTTGAGCACCAAAGAAGCATGGACTGACATGTTACACAGGAAATATCATGGTAATGTCCGATGTTTAGACACCATGGACATTAGAAAACGGCTGGAGGCTTGGTGACATCCGAACCACGTCGTCCCCGCTTCTTGCTGCTGTGGAGCAAGTGCGAGCAACCTCAGACAACAGCACAGGCTTAAGGCCCAAAAGCCCATGCCTGAAGCATCAAACAGACATGGATCGAAACTGCACGGGACGGTTTGTGACAGCACGGGCTGCATGCAACGGCACGCAACACATACTCATAGCCTGTGACCTTAAACCAAGCAACGATGATGGAAGCTCCGGTGGTTGTGCCAGGCTCGTGTCTTTGCAAGGCTGACCTCCTGCCTCATATCGCCCACCCTCCTCGCCAAAGCGGTGCTTTCCGTCTCACACGCTCTCTTCTGTCTACACCGAACGTGCCAGCCTCCGGCGGCGACCTGAGATTCGGAACCTGCTCCTGCAGAGCAGCAAGCTTTGAATTGCAGTAGGCCTGACCGCCCCTAACTTGAAGAGATCCCGTGAAGCGTAGAGAGTCCTCCACATTCTTATCCCTGCTGTCGGCATCAAAGTCAAGCTCTCCAGACTTCCTTGCTGCAGAATGCGCTCGATCACAAAGGAATAAATCTACATCAGCCTGTCTGGAGCTGCAAAGTGCGGGCTTGCAGCGCCACTTGCAGTCGAAGCTTCGCCATATCAGCGTCTGCCTCGCACCAAAGCTTAGACTTAAGCATGTTCTGGGACGTCGACTATAAAGTGCTGAGGCACAGCTTTGATCTGTACCTCCAAGCGCTCGCACCTAGACTTCCACTCCGACTCCATCACGTCGTCTTGAAGCTTCACCGAGACCTGGCCATCGGCTAAACCCTAAGCTTCGGGTTTGGCCTGGATGGGCTTCCTTTCACCACCGTAAATGCGACACTTGTTCCGCCTGTCTTAAAGACTATTGTACGACCTCCGGGGATTTGGTTTTGGTGTGCTGGGCGCAGCTCAGGCGCGCAAGGGTGGCTGTCACAAGTGGCTAAGAGGCCAAGGCGGAAAATTGTCGTCGCATGTTGTGAGTTGCAGGCGGCCTGTTCACGCAGCTCCTCAAGCTCAGCCTGCTGGCTCCGGTCCTTCTGGACCTTAGTTGCCACTTACCAGCGTGCCATAGCGTGCCCAGTTGTGTTCGAGCTTCTCCTCCTTCGACTTAATGCTGGCAATGTGCTTAGGGCCGAGGGTCTATTTAAGTCTATTTCGTACCGCAATCAACGCGCCATGGTGCAAGATAGTCCCGCTCGGTCTGAAGTCTGTTCACCAGCGCCTGAAGCGCTTGGAGTTCGGAGGCCTGTGAAAGCCCATACATCACGCCGAATGCAGGGTTCAGGCTTCCTCAAGTATCGCAACATGTCCTTTCTTTTTGCGGAAAATCTCTTCTCATGGGTTACGCCTTCAATTTGTTAGGCTTTCCCGGGCTTTCCCACTCAACATGCCTTGGTCGACTCTTATACCTTTGGTATGCTTTCGTGGTGTCTTGCCTCTTGCATATCTTGCATGGCTTAATATGATTAACCTTCAGGCAATCTTATGGAAGCTGCGTGCCTATAAATGAACATGCCAAAATTCAAGTGGAAGCGCAAGCACATCTGCCGCCGCCTCATCTGTAGGATCAGCTGGCACCTTGCATACACATTGCACCACAGGTGCTGCTTCAGCATCTGACGTGGTGTCTTGAAGTTGCACCTGCCTTGTCTCGCAGCTCGTCCTCACATTGTATCATGCGAATTCGACAAAAACTAGTCTAACGCAGCTCCGGCCATGCCTCAGCTTCAAGGATTGCCTTTGCAGCTAATTGCTCAGCAAGATCATCCGAGGCTGCCTGAACATCAAAGGAAAGAAGCATGGTCTGGTGCGGTTGAATGCAGTTGTCTGAGCGTTGGGCCTCGAACCTTAGTTGGCACATAGGCACACGACGACCTCTACTGAAGTAATCTCCCCTCAACTCCAGAAGCTGCAAAAATTTCTGAAAATATCCTGGAAGCTGTTGCTGCTTTTGGCTCTTTAACTCGTCTATCTGGGCCTGAGCAAGCAGGACTACGCAGAGAAAGCTGTTCCAAAAGCTCCGGCATTCTCTTGCTTCCATGTCTCGTTCGATCCCTCGCACGTGCTTCACTCATGCTCGTCTTTGTTAGATTCTTGAGCGAAAGGCACCGAACAACCGCCGTGCACAACAATATGCACCCTTTGCAAAGCCAAGCGTAGCGGCTTGGACGTCGCTTCCAACCCCCCCCCACTTGCGTATGTATGCGGCGAGACTTGACCACCACGACCGGTGGCACTGCGATACGAGCACTTGCGTTCAGCTAGAGCTGCTCTGCACCACCGTGCCCGTCTGAGTGGCTGCACTGAGCCCATGCAGCCCAAGTCATATGGGGTTTGTCTATCCACAGGAAAGACGGGGTCTGTTTTCTGAAGGCTGACGCACACTTCTCACGTGAGCGGCTTTGGAGAAGTAAATGAAACACCGCCTAGCACACAGACACACCAATGTTAGAGCATACAGTGCTCAACGAGTTCGCTCTCGCTTGCTTGCTTGATTGCTGGCTTTCTCTCTCTCTCTCTCTCTCTCTCTACCAGGCATGGGGCTTGGGGCTGGTCGGACCCCTCACCCCGCACGCGAACGCGCACCTGCTGGTCCAGGCAGGTTTTGGACTCTCAGTGGGGGCTATGCCCCCATGAGCTTGGCTGTACACTATCCCCTCACGACAACATGCGGGTTACTCAAAAACAAGGAAGGACTATCCGGCAAGTAACCCCCCTAAACGAAGCCAGTAGGTGCTTTCTCCCCACATGTCATCATCACTGCACGAGCTCAGTTATTCTCAAGCATCCCCCTCTCACTTGAAAAGACCACTTGAAAACCACGACACAACTCGGCACTCACACAGCTGAGCTCCTGGCCTTGGGGTTCAGGCAACACCAGCTATGCTACTTTATATCCCCCAGGCCATCAAGTTTTGTGCAGTGTTGAGGTTTCTGGTATACTACTAGCTCTCTGCGTCCCCGGCGGAAAAAACGAGACTACTTTGGAACATGTTGTTTCGCGAACCAACTGGAGTTTCCCCCGGGGTTACTTTGAGCTCGAACGTGGTTGGTGACATAGTCCCTGCCACTTTCGGGGGTTGTTTGCAAAGCAACAAAGAAGATGACGACAAATGTACAGGGTGCGGGTCACAGTATCCCCCTTCTTCTACGTGGACAGGGTCACAGGTACTCTACGCGCAGGGTGCGGTTGAGCCTCTGGTTGGAACCCCCGAAGACAATCCCCCAGAAGATCCCGAAAGAACCCCGACCTGAAGCAGAAACTCATCCTACACCCCGAGCCACGGCCTCCTTGCCTCCCCCTGTGGTGAGGCTCAAGCATTGCGGTGGGACTCTGCTGGAGGGGCCGGGCAGCTAATAGGCCTAGCGGTACACCTATGGGAAGAGCCGGGATGGAAGGTTCAGTGCCCCCCCGCATGCATTCGCCTACGACGGTGGCTGTCCTGACAACTGGGCTCACTGCTCGGCTCAGAAGGTGCTTGCTCGCGGCTCCCCGTGTCTTGGCTCCCCCCAACATGGAGGTTCGCTGCTTCTCCCATGAGCGGTTGGCTCCAGGCGTGCCAGGGCGGCGTCGTAGCTAGGCTGTTCGCTTGCCCCCCATCCTCTTCGCTCTGGTCCAGCTGTGTTTGCGCTGCTTGTTGGATGGCATCTTCCAGGCTGTCTGTCATTAGCGCCTGGGCTTGAGAGGATGTAATTCCTCCCAGGGCCGTCCATTGGCCAGAGTGCGGAGCTCCCCCATGGCTTGGGGCCACTCCTGTCGCTGCTGTCTCCCCATCTTCGCACTGGTGGTCTGAGGCCAGAGCTGGTGCACATGCCCCCCCAGGTTCGAGGTTGGCTCCAGTGGTTGCCCCTGCCTCTTTGCATGGGCCGTCCGCTATCGGTATGTAGTCGTTGTCGCCCCCAGCTTCAGTCTGCGTCTCTTCGGTAGCAGCCATTACCCCTCCGAAGAGGGCTTGTTGCGTCGCCTCCACCGCGTGGAGGAGTTGCACTGCCAGCGGAACCTGCTCGTCCACGAGGGTCGGCATGAGCTTTCGGAATTCCCCCGCCGCTTCGAAGAGCAACTGGGCTGCGGTGGAGCTCGTCCTCGTGCGGGGTCCCCCTTCCTCGTGGCCTTGTGCAAGCTGTAAAACATCTGCAGGGTGAACTCGTCGCGGTCCCTCTGCGGACCCAGAGCTGGTCCCCCTCTGTTGTTGTTCTTCGCTGTCCCCGCGTTGCTCCAGTAAAACAGCCGCTGGTGTAATAAGGTCACGGAGCTCCCCCCATAGTTTTGGGGTGTTCCAGCAGCATTCCCCTCGTAGTGAGGAGTCCAAGGCAGCGGTAAGCAGCATGATTGCACGCTGCAGGCACCTCGTTCCCCACTGGAGTTGCTGCACTGAGACGGCTGCGGGCATAGGTTCATGCAGCTGTACGGCCCCCTCTTCAAGGACCCGAATGAGGTAGGAGAGGTCTTGCTGCCATTCCTCCCTCGTGAGTCTGCGTCCCCCACCGTGCAAGTGGTGGGTGAAAGAAGAGAGCGCATCAACCAAGTAGTTGGCATTGCAGATCCCCCGTTTGCGCCCCCGCTTGCATGTGTCTGGCACTATGCCTGTAGGGTACATCATGGAGAGCAGGTTTGCTGCTACATCACAGAAGGCCGTAATGGTAGCCGATGGTCCCCCTCTCTCTCTCTCTCTCTGTCTCTCTCTCTCTCTCTCTCTCTCTCGCTTTGGCTGGTCTGGGGCAGGTGGGCCAACGCTGGCGCAATGTGTACCTTGACCAACTACCAGTTTGCGTGTACTTTGGTGGCAAGTTGGGGGTGGTTTATGTGGGCAACAATGCATAATTAGGCCGAATAAATACACGTGGCCCGAGCTGGGAACCCAGTAAAGCGTGCTCGTCATAACTCATTGTCTTTTCCAAAACACTTCGGGGCATTGCATGCTGTCCACCGCACTCTCAAACACATTCCTACGCACTCCTCCACACTTCTCTACCACATTCCCCGGCACTGCACTCCTCCACAACACTCCCCCTTGCAGCGGCCGCAGAAAGTGTCAACGCCCACCCCTCTGTCCACCAGCGACTTTTGCGAGCCTGAGAAGTTTGGAGAGTTTAACGTTGACATTCCGGGTTGAAAAGGGGGGAGTGAGTACGGTGTAAGGGAGCCAGCGTGTCTGCGAAATCACTCGAAGAAGCGCTTCGAGTTCGGGCTTGTACGTGTTCCCAACTATCTGCCGATCTTGTCCATGGCTTGTTTGCACAGTCTTTGTGTTAGCCCTCTTTTTTTGCGGGCCAGCTCTCGTCCAACACTCCTGTCAGAACTACGTCTATGCAACGTGGTGCCACAGATCCACAGCAAGTTAAGCTGAAATCTTTCAAGCTTTCGGCAGTGCACTGCAGGTGTGACTGTTGCCGTATTCGTCGCTTATGCTTATGAGAGGGATGGAACGAAAAACTATGTGTGGCACCGAATTCGCTGTTTCTGAGCATCCAAACTCCCCAAACAACCCAGAAACTGCCTTTCACGTGACCGCATGTTGCGCACTACCCAGGGATGTCTTCCCTTCGGTCCACCGGAAGGAAAAAGAGATACAGACAGGTAGCAACAGAACAAACTAGCACCGTCGTCGTCGTCGTCGTCGTCGCTGCGATCGGTCCCTTGAGCATCATGTCAATTCTTGCATGCCTGTTCACTCTCCACTGCCCTCTGTCGTTCACTTGCTCTCGTGCGAACTCCCTCTACTTCCCGCAGTCCACCCTCTCCTTTCTCTCCTCGCTTCTCCTATTGCCACGCCCCCTTGCTGAAGGACCCGTTCCACCCTCAGACTGCGGCGGATCATGCATCTGCTTTTCGAGCTCCCTGGCCGTCATAGCATGACAGCGATGACAACTCATCTCGAAACTGCAGTTGGACGAAGTTGGATGTGCAAGGCATCACAACCAGCACACGACATGAGGTCAATGAGTCTGACAACGGACCGGTCGCATGCCTGCATCTGCTTGTCGAGCTCC